CTACATGGGAGTCCAGCGACATAGCCATTATGCTAACTGCTGGTCCCCATCCTGCCCAATTCTTAATCTACAGAAACTGAGATAATAAATATGTGTTGCTTAAGCCACTAAAGCTTAACAGAAAAAAAGTGGAATTCAAGATCAAAAGCATCAAATAAGACAAAAAGGGGCAGGCCAGCCCCATAGTCCAGTGGTTAAGGGAGCCGAATCCCATATGGCCAACCATCATTTCAATCCTGGCCAGGGAGCTTGAAAAACATGCTTCACACATGTGCATGCATGCCTCAAATCCCAACAGGGTGGAGAAATGGAAGAGAAGGGAGTGTGACATGATCACACCCCATTGAGAATTGCTTTCTCCCTCTGTCTCTCTTTCTCTGTCTCTCTGTGGAGAGTACATGTGCTCTCTGGCAATAAAAAAAAAAGATACAAAGGAACACAAATGGTTCAGTCCTTGATGAAGAGATGAGTCATAAGCCTTTTTCTTCTAAATTATTACAGCAGCTTAATATTTAAAGTAAAAATTCTTAGAAATGCAAGAAGACCGTGATAAAAATCATCACCATAATAGGACTAGAATAACACCTGTGACACAAAGAGGCCGAAGGTGGAGTGGGATGGATATGGACCTGACACAGTCTCTGCCAGCATACTGGGAAACTCTGGCGTAAAGATTGTCCATCAGAAAAATCCTGTGTTGAGCATAAAGGGCTACCTCCCACTACCTCCCCTTGCTCTGTACTTATATGTGGGCATCCCGAGAGGAGGATGCAGAAACTGAGGAGAATCTGAAGGTACTAACAGCTGGTGGCACTAACAGCTAACCACACTGCTTGCACCTGGATAGTAATATCTTATTAATTAATTAATTAATTAATTAATTAATTCATGTGAGCATGCATGCATGCATGCCATAGGGCACACGCACTCTCTGGAGAGAGAGAGACAGGGACGGTGAGAAATCACCCCCCATGGGGGATGGCCATGCTTTTATCCCTTCTCTCCCAGGTTCCTCTTGGGACTTTAGGTATGCATGCCTCCATACCTGGCATAATTTTCAAGCTGCCAGGTTCGGGACCTGAACCATGGAGTCTAGTGCCTTAACCACTATACCACCTACTGGTTATGAGACCCTTCTTTTTAAATTCTTTAAGTAGATTTTGCCTTTTAGGGTGTGTGCATTCACTACAGAGAGAGACAGAGACAGTAAGAAACAAAGTGAGAAATCACCTGCCAGGAGGATGGCCGTGCCTTGATCCCTTCTCCTCCATTCTCCTCTTGGTATCTTGGGCACACATGCACACATGCCTCGCATGATTTTCAAGCTACCAGGTCTGGGACTTCAACTGCATTCAGCCATGTGGGAGTCCAGCAATGTAACCACTATGTCATCTGTTGGCCCTGAGACCTTTCTTGAAGTAAGATCTGAGTGACGCCTCTGTATCTGCCATAAAAACAAAAATGATTAAAGGCCAAAATCAAAAACCAACTTTTAAAAGAGTACAGGGATGGCTCTATAGCCTGGTGGTTCAAGCTGCCAGATCCTACATGACCAACCCAGTGGCTTGAGAAACACACCAGGTACATGTGTGTGTGTGCTCAAAATTCTGAAAAGAGGGAGATGGAAAAGGGATTATGGTATGGCCATTCCTGGGGGAGGGAGTGTGCTTTCTCCTATCCCTTTCTGTCTCTCTCTGGCCAGCACACAATCTAGAATAAAAAAATCTTTCTCTTCTTTTTTTTTTTTTTTTTGTCTGTGTGCAATTAGCAAAATTGTTCTGCAGGTGAGATACATGTGTATAAATCTGCGGAGTGGACATTTAGGATCTGTTAAATGATATAGTAAGAGTTCAAAAACTAAGTAAATGGCCAACTTAATCATAGGGACAAGTCTGGAGTTGAATATTATACCCCAGAATTCAATCGGGAAGATAGGCTTTGTTGTCTGGTTTTAAAGATCTTATAACTTTTGACTAAAACATTGCTGATTTTCTTCTAGGCTTTGTTTTCCCATTTTAAGGATTTTTGTCTTGTCTGAAGCTACCAATAGGCTCATGTACCTACTATTTGAACAGAATCCTAACCTGTTTCCTGGCTTTAAGTTTTAAGCAAAGCTCCTTAGCATTTCT